ATACATCATCACATATTCTGCAGGTAATACATCATCACATATTCTGCAGGTAATAAAAACACTCGATGTCATGCGACGTTCAATGATCGCTGATGTATGCAGAAACCCGTGCATAATTATTTCCATATTAGATGAGCGTTGCTACACTTAATGCTGCAAGATGCAGCTGCTGATTATAAATAAAGAGAGCACGCAGCTCGGTAGTAAAAGACTTATGCTACGGGATGTGCGGCGGCCATTATAATAGTCGATTACTTTTCAGCGTCTGCAAGTGGACTGCTATGTCTGTTTTATTTATTATTCCTATATATAATGTAATAGCTAAAGCTTCTTTAAAACTAATAACGAACATTTGATATTCGATCGTTTATTCACTTGCGTCAATAAAATTAAAATGTATTGAATTTATTCTATTGAATTCATTGAAATTTTGGAATTCACTGAATACAATGAATAAAGTTCTGAAGTACTTTATAGGCACTTTGAGTGACGTTATAAGAGCACTAGAGCACTTACTATAACATGCGGCGAGGAATGACTTAACAAACTAATAATGGGAACATTTGAGTTTATTTTTTACTTTTTAGAAGAAGACATCATAATTTCTTGAGATAGACCATCAATCCGAACTCGCAAGTGTAGAAGCTGGGCAAAACTCGCGACAGTGTCCACAGCGCCACACCAACCAGACATCTGACGTTGAATCACCGTCGAATAAAACGTTGTTTGATTGAATCAAAGTAAGTTCAACGTTATTTCAACGTCATTTGCTTGGTGGAAAACCAGCGAGAACTGCCGAAACTAACAAAGGGTATAGCTACGTAGAAACATAAGAAACCTGTTCATTCAGTACACCAAGTTGTAAGTTGATATAAACTGCCTAGGTTGTACTGGAAATCGTAACATTTATTAATAATCGAATAAACGTTAGTCCAACTGTACCACAAGCAGTAAGTTTTTATCGCAATTATGTCAAATTTAATAGATTTTATTTGTCAACTGCCATCTAGCCAACGCTGCTCGCTGCAATCATTGGACTGATTTGAGAGTCGTTGAATGATTGTCACTCTGGTATCGAAATATGGTCGATGCGACCACAAGTGAACAACTAATAAAGGTGTACAATGTATGGAAGATCTACTACACTGTGGCTCATGAAGTTAAGATGTCGATTAAGAGACGAGGCATGAATACGGATAAGGGTTTTTATTAAAAAAAACTCTTGACACTACAAGAGTGATAATAACTGTTCAAGAGCGATAATATTAGATCAAAATAAAACTTTAAGAGATCGCACTACCCCTACCCCAAATTTTGTAGTGAAACACAAATCTATCAAGCTTTACTCTATTTCTGTTTAGCATCAGCCTATAACATATGAGCCTCCATTTTAACCACATTCCTCTACCGTAGGTACTAAATACAACTACCGTTGTTGCAGGGAAACGCACTTGTTGACAGAAAATTCGTAACAGATTTATGATTAATTTGAGTAATTTCTAGACTACATTTACGGTCACGTGACTGAGAATGGCTGACATCTTAAACGTGAACAACTCCACTCAGCTGGCGTCAGCGTTTCCCGAGAACTGCAAACCGCGATGTGCAGGCTGATGTCGAGCAGATGTCAATGTCCTGCCATCCTTAGGTGATGTGCAGTGAGTGATGCGCGATGGGTCCTGTTATTACTGTGCAGTACTACGATGTCTGTTGAATGAATATTGTGGTGTCCAGTGTTGAAGTGAGTATATCGAAGACAGGCGCACCAGTAGTACTGTACTCAGTGCTCTAATACTGTATACTCAGTACTCTAAGTACCGTACTCAGTACTCTAAGTACTGTACTCAGTACACTAAGTACTGTACTCAGTACTCTAAGTACCGTACTCAGTACTTTAAGGACTGTACTCAATACTCTAATACTTTACTCAGTACACTTAGTACTGTACTCAGTACTCTAAGTACCGTACTCAGTACTTTAAGGACTGTACTCAATACTCTAATACTTTACTCAGTACACTTAGTACTGTACTCGGTACTCTAAGTACTGTACTCAGTACTCTAAGTACTGTACTCAGTACTCTAAGTACTGTACTCAGTATACTAAGTACTGTACTCAGTACTCTAAGTACTGTACTCAGTACTCTAAGTACTGTACTCAGCAGTCTAAGTACTGTACTCAGTTCTCAGTACACTAAGTACTGTACTCAGTTCTCAGTACCCTAAGTACTGTACTCAGTACACTAAGTACTGTACTCAGTTCTCAGTACTCTAAGTACTGTACTCAGTACTCTAAGTACACAAATTTCCCAGCTACTGGCAGACAGGAAGCTGCCGCCTCTGTTTTATCTGTGTGTTAGTACAGCACCTGTGTGGATGTCGGCCGTGCATGTGTGCGTGACACAAGTGTTTGTGTTAATGTGTGTTTTTACGTTGTGTGTGAGTGGGTATAGCGGATACGGCGGAGGAAGCCAGGATATCAGTTTCCAGTAATGTTGTTAATGAAATAATATTTTAATATAATATTTATTTATTTATGTCCCGTGAGTGTGGGTGGGAGGAGGGGTTGTGTCCCGTGAGTGTGGGTGGGGGGAGGGGTTGTGTCCCGTGAGTGTGGGTGGAGGGGTTGTGCCCCGTGAGTGTGGGGGTGGGGAGGG